AGGAGACATTTTGTGTCCAGCAGCAAAACTTTAGAAAATCAACAAGGGAGGGAGAAGGAGATTTTAATGTGAAAGTTATACTTTGTTTATTTATAAAACAAATCAGACACGCATTATTGTTCCAAGCATATATATATAAAGATTTACGTCTTCAGTAGGAACAAACAGGCTAGGGGCTAACAGTTAGTCTTGAGGGGCAGAATAATGAATTGTTGGTTTTCATGGGATTTGTTGACAGCACGAAAAAGAATATAAAAAATGCATAAGAAGCCTTATCCTTGTATTAGGGGTAATGCAGTGCTACTAAGCTGCTCTGTTATCTTTGGGTAATTGTAACGAAAGCATTCGAATGTATTTTCTTCAGACCAGACAACACAAACTATTTGTTGCTTTATTGTATTATTTACTTTAACTTAGTTTTTAACTGGTTATGAAACCATCTCAATTAAATACTGATGCCTCTATATGACCTACATAATTGGCTGTTTCTATAGTTCTTCTTAATGCCTGCTACCAGGTCAACTCCCCTTAAAATCAATGAAACAAGGCTGTAGGAATACTACTGCTTTTGTCCACAGGGGCCGCCAGAATCAACACAAAATAAAAGCTTGCAGGGGCTTTAATGAGTTTAAAATCACACAGGATGTAGTTTTGATTTGTTATAGACTTTGAATTTGAACTTCCTCCTCCTCTTAAAACAAATTCAAGAAAACAGATGAATAAATGAAGGATTATTCCCAGATTGTGCAGACATTTGGAGAAACCCTGCAGACAATTCGCATTAAACACTAATTAATTGTTGGCCACATTGCAAACACTTCGGCAGCACTCTGTGATGAGTTACACTCGAATGTCAGCAATCATTTGTTGTTGTTTTTTTATGTTTATGGAGGTAGATGTGAAGAAAACCAATCAACACGTGACTGAAGGGCATTGTGTGTGCAGCTTTGTATGTCCACTGATAGAATCATAATATACTCTTCCCAAAGACTGGTGTGTGTGTTTGTGAGTGTAGTTATCTGTCGTGCCTTAATGGAAGTCATAGTGTATTTGTCATTTCTCTCAAGTGCCTGTGTGACTTTGACACTCTCTGCCCTCGCTTCGCCCCTCTCCCGCCTGCACTGGTGGTGAGATGTCAGATGGACCAGGTCGTGGGTTTAAGGCCTCAACCAACCATCAGTACGGGGACCAGCAAACCAACTCCATGTCCCTCTTAGCATGTCATTTTTCAGTGTGCCCTGCATTACCTGAGTTATGCCCTCTGTATAAACCTTACTCAGGTAAGGCTGGGCGTAACAGAGCTCAGACTGTTGGGTTGATCAAACTGCTTATCTCCAGTGAAGACAAGCCTGTGTGTGTGTGTGTG